TCTCCCTCTCTCTCTGCCCCTCCCCCGTTCATGCTTTGTCTCTCTCTGTCCCCCCAAAAAATAAATAAACGTTGGAAAAAAAATTTAAAAGAAGATGACTTTCGATATCTTTCAGGGATTATCAATTCGCTGAGATGCAACCCTTCCTCCCCCCACCTATCCACCCCCAATTCCCAGGGCCCGTTACTCTCTCTCAAAGAATCAAGTGAGAAAAGACATCAGCCAACCATCGGTAGACATAACTTGGCTGAGGATAAAGTCTCTAGATGTGTCCAAAGCCAAAGTGGCTACGGTGGTAATAACTAACATCATGTAAAAGGGAACTATGAGGAACTCTGTTGCTCATATTTATAACCATCCTTAGAGAGCATATGCAAACAGAGGGAAGTGGAAAGCAAGAAGATTAGGAAGCAAAGGAGCAAATAATAGGCAAGATTTTTTTCAGTGTTTATTTATAAGGAATAAGTAGGGGGCCCAGAGCCAAGTCTACCAGTGAGGGATCCCCGGAGTCCTTCAACTGCCACCAGAACTGAAGACCTAATCTGGAAGCATCTTGATTCATAGAAAAGGTCACTGTCGTAGGTTTACGGGTACTTCATCAAGCTACTCCATAACCTTTCGACTCACTTATGCCCTTTTCTCTGGTTTTCTGCTCACAAACAAATTTTTTTATTTCAAATGTGGCCTCTCAGATATCTCAAACAAGCATAAGAGTGCCTTTAACAGTAGGTATAAATAGTCACTGGTATGAAATAGAATACATTTTCTAAGTTAAAGTTACAGTTGTAAATTAACATATTGGTACCCTTACAGATTCACTGATGTCCCCTGAGTTCAATTAGTGTGTGTGATGAATAAATCAAAACCAGATCCTGGACTTGCAAAAGCCATGGTGATCTGCCACTTCCCAAGGACTCTTCATACTGGGAAGCCACATGAGGGCAGTCGCATCCCTCTATCTCAGACCCTGCATTAACTGCAACGTAACCTAGCACAAATATGTTTTTTTATTTGTATGATGCTTGACCAGCATAGGCCGTCATTAAGATCAGAAACCATGTTGGGGCGCCTGGGTGGCGCAGTCGGTTAAGCGTCCGACTTCAACCAGGTCATGATCTTGCGGTCCGGGAGTTCGAGCCCCGCATCAGGCTCTGGGCTGATGGCTCAGAGCCTGGAGCCTGTTTCTGATTCTGTGTCTCCCTCTCTCTCTCTGCCCCTCCCCCATTCATGCTCTGTCTCTGTCCCAAAAATAAGTAAACGTTGAAAAAAAAAATTTTTTTTTTAAAGATCAGGAACCATGTCTTTTTTACCTCTGTATCTCCAGAACCAAATGATGCCTAGGAAATGTTCAAAATTTATTTGGTATGGGAGTGTTTGAATTAGAACTCTCATAGTCCAAGACCACACAGAACTGCAGCTAGAGCTGTGATTCCCTCTTGAGTTCCTTCTTCCCTGTGCTACCAAGGTGATCTGAAAATGGAGATCAGATCATGTTACACACGCGCGCGCGCGCGCGTGCACACGACAGACTCTTTGATGATTTCCCATTGCTCTTAAAGACTTAAATCCTTATCATGGCAAGTTAGTTGGAGTTCTTAGTTCAAACAATAGAATTCATTCAACCAGTATAAGCAGTAAAAAAAAAAAAAAAAAAAAAAGATTAAAGCTGCTCTGTCCAATGGAACTCTCTGTGGTGATACAAATTTTCTGTATCTGAGTTGTCCAATAAGGTAACCACTAGTTTGGGGCACCTGGATGGCTCAGGTGGTGAAGCATCCAACTCTCGATTTTGGCTCAGGTCCTCACCTCATACTTCGTGAGATTGAGCCCTGCGCCGGGCTCTGTGCTCACAGTATGGAGCCTGCTTGTGATTCCCTCTCTCTCTCTCTCTCTCTCTCTCTCTCTCTGTCTATGCCCCTTTCCCGCTTGCATGCATTATGTGCTCTCTTGCTCTCTCTCTCAAAATAAATAAATAATTTTTTTTCTTTTTTTTTTATTCAACATTTATTTATTTTTTGGGACAGAGAGAGACAAAGCATGAACGGGGGAGGGGCAGAGAGAGAGGGGGACACAGAATCGGAAACAGGCTCCAGGCTCTGAGCCATCAGCCCAGAGCCCGACGCGGGGCTCGAACTCATGGACCGCAAGATCGTGACCTGGCTGAAGTCGGACGCTCAACCGACTGCGCCACCCAGGCGCCCCTAAATAAATTTTTTTTTAAAAGGTAGCCAGTAGTTTCATGTGGCTCTTGAGCACTTGAAATGCAGTTTGTGCAACTGAAGAACTGAATTTTAAATTTTCTTTCATTTTACTTAATGTAAATTTAAATAGCCACATGTGGCTAATTATTACTCTATTGTAGAGTACAGAATTAAAGGATATTAAGTAGTGCACAGAAAATCAAGATGGACCACAGTGTGAGGCGTGGGGTCTATACAGCAAGGAACAGTGTCTAAACTTCACTGAGGGACTGCTCACGGAATACCCCAATGCCTTTGAACATAGACACTGCAGCTGTCATTGCTGACGAGCACTGGACACAATAATCCCTTGCTGTTAGCCCTCCAAAGCAGATGTTTCCAGGGGCGCCTGGGTGGCTCAGTCAGTTAAGTGTCTCACTTCAGCTCAGGTCATGACCTTGCGGTTCACAGGTTCAAGCCCCATGTCAGGCTCTGTGCTGATAGCTCAGAATCTGGAACCTGCTTCAGATTCTGTGTCCACCTCTCTCCCTGCTCCTTCCCTATTCTCTCTCTCTCTCTCTCAAAAATAAACACGGAAAAAAATGTTTTAAAAAGAAACAAATCAGATGTTCCCAATGCTATCTTGTCACACATGGGTTCTACACTGTGCCTGCTTCCTCTGCTGTGTGCCTCTGAACCAAAGGCTCTGCCTGATCAGTGGAGCCCAGGTGATGAATGCCCAAGCTGCAAGGGAATTGGGAAGGCCAGTTTCTGGCTTCCACCTCTTGGAGGCTGTACTTTTTTTTTTTTAATTTTATTTAAATCTTAGTTAAACATACCATCCAATATTGGTTTCAGGAGTAGAGTTCAGTGATTCATCATTTACATACCATACCCTGTGCTCATCACAAGTGTCCTCCTTAGTACCCATCCTCCATCTAGCCCATCTCCCACCTACCGCCCTCCATCGACCCATAGTTTATTCTCTATCATTAAGAGTCTGTTGTGGTTTGTTTCCCTCTCATCTCTCCCCCCACCCCTTCCCATATGTTCTGTTTCTTAAATTCCACATGTAAGTGAAATCATATGGTATTTGTCTTTTCTCTGATTGACTTATTTAGCTTAGTATAATACATTCTAGCTCCAACCACATCATTGGAGATAGTACTTATGATGTGGGAAATTCCTCACATAAAAGAAGAGTGTTAAGAAGATGCTGGATATCCAAAGAATATGACAAATGTCTACTCTTCATGGTCTATACCAGTGCTTCTCAAACGTTAATATGCAGAAAAATCATCTGAGAGTCTTGTTAAAATACAGATTTTGGGGGTTCCTGGGTGGCTCAGTCAGTGGTTAAGCATCCAACTCTTCATTTTGGCTCAGGTCATGATCTCACAGTTCGTGAATTTGAGCCCCACATCAGGCTTTGCGCTGACAATGTGGAGCCTGCTTGGGATTCTCTCTGTATCTCTGCCCCTCCCCTGCTTGCACTCTCTTTCTCTCTCTCTAAAAATAAAAAATAATAATTTAAAAAATTTTAGGGGCATCTGGGTGGCTCAGACAGTTAAGCGTCCAACTCTTGATTTCAGCTCAGGTCATGATCTCATAGTAATGGGATCAAGTCCCACATCAGGCTCTGTGCTGGGTATGGAACCTGCTTATGATTCTCTTTCACCCTCTCCCTCTGCCACCCTCCTTAAAAAAAATACAGATTCTCAGGGCCCCTGGGTGGCTCAGTTGGTTAAGTGACCCACTTCAGCTCAGGTCATGATCTTGCAGTCTGTGACTTCAAGCCCTGCATCAGATTCTGTGCTGACAGCTCAGAGCCTGGAGCCTGCTTCCAACTCTCTCTCTGCCCCTCCTGCTACCCCCCACTCTCAAAAATAAATAAACATTAAAAATATACAGATTCTCATTCAGTAGGTGGGGGGGGGGGGGAGGAACAAGATTCTGCAGTTCCAACAAGTTGCCAGGTGTTTCCCATGTTGCTCATTCAAACACCACATTTTGAGAAGCAAGGTTTTATACGATCCCACAAGGACTTCCTCTCTATAACATTCTAGTATCTCATTCCTTTCCTGTGCTTCAGACACATTCTGAAAAAGTCTTTAAAAAAAAAACTACTTTATTGAAATATAGTTCACATTCCATACTATTCACCCTTATGTCGTGTGGCTGGTTTTCAGAGGACTTGTGTTCTCTTGATTTGGCTGTTTCTGAGCCTGTTCTCCAGCTCTCTTATGTACTCTATGAAGTACTAATATCCTTTCACTAATTCCCTCTCTGATGAAGTTAACCAGAGTTGGTTTCATATCTTGCATTTAAGAACTCTGACAAAGGCATCTACTGATCCACTTGCCGTTTCAATCTCAGGACAGGAGCATATGGAAGGCAAATGGGAGCTCTTTAATTCTACTGTTAGGGGGAAGGATAGATGTGAAGACATTGCTTCTGGAGTGTGTGTGTGTGTGTGTGTGTGTGTACGCCCATGTGCGTTTAAATACATACATAACAGCTTTATTGAGTAATAAGTCACATACTATAACATGCTTTGAAGTATACAGCACGGCGCTTCTTAGGAGAGTAAGAGTATAGCAATCCTCATTCTCATTTGAGTAAAGCTCCTTTCGTTTTTCCAGATCCAAGGGACTTTGAGCATATCTACGAGAATCTACACTTCTGGTGAGTCATTCTCACTGCCTCTCAATTCAATTCACTCCCTTAGTCCCACCCACTGACTCTCAACTCACATTTCCACTCCTTCAACTCTCTCCCTCTCACGCCTTCTCTTCTCAGTCCCCGCCTCGGCACTTGGGCCTCGCTGATTGGCTGATGCCCGGTGACGTCCTCAGACCGCGACGCAGAACGTGGAGGCCGCGGGTCATGTGGCTGAGCGGCCAGCCGTGGCTGCCAGTTCTCGTACAAGGGTGCTTCAACCTCCGGCGTCTCATTGCTGTCAGTACTTGGGGTGGTTGTAGGGGTCCGATGGCGGAAACATCCTCAACTGGGGCCGAGGCAGCGGCCGGGCTGAAGACTCCAGCTCAACAAAACGGAGACGTTAGTGGCGACGCGAGTGGTGAGCTGCTCTCCGGGAGCCCGGAGCCTGAGGGCCCGGGAGTGGAGCCGGCCCGGGAGGACGGGAAGCCGACCCAATCGAGCGAGGAGCAGGCCCCAGTTGCAGCTTCAGGCTCAGGCAAGCGTAAGAAGCGACGGGACGCCACCAGAGAGCGCGTCGTGCCACCCCCGAAGAAGCGGCGGGCAGGGGTGAGCTTCGGCGATGAGCACTTTGCAGAGACCAGCTACTACTTCGAGGGCGGCCTGCGCAAAGTGCGGCCCTATTACTTTGACTTCCGGACCTACTGCAAAGGCCGCTGGGTGGGCCACAGCTTGTTGCACGTCTTCAGCACCGAATTCCGAGCTCAGCCCTTGGCCTACTACGAGGCCGCAGTCCGGGCGGGGCGCCTGCACCTCAACGAGGAGCCGGTACAGAACCTCAACATCGTGCTCAAGGTGGAGTCCTGATGGGGCCAGCTGGAAGCGGGCGAGGAAAGGGGGCAGGGGTCTTTTCAGAGTAAATAGGGCTTAGTTACTGGAGTAAAATCGAGGTAATTCTGAAGCATCTTCACTTTCACCTGGAACACTCTTTTAAGAGGCCCCTCCTCTCATCCCATCTCCGCAGAAGTAGCCTCTGTGCTTCAAAACTCAGCCCATTTATCCTTTCCATCCAGGCGGCTACCTTGTTTCCAAGGGACAGAAGTTGGAATTTTCAAAGCTCCCTTTGTGCACTGCCTTGTGGCACTGGCACTGATCTCTATCTTGCATTATAGATCTCTGTACAAATAGTAATAACAGAGCCTCTCTGTTCTTACTCTCAGTGTTCTTACTGTGTGCTGGCACAGAGGTAAGCATTTTATGTACTTAACATTAAATTCTAATGACAGCCTTGTGGGATAGGTATTGCCACCTCATTTTACCTGTGAGGAAACAGAACTAAAGCGAACTTCAAAGAGGTAAGACAACAGTGTCACCTCCAAACCCTGTGTTCTTATAACTACTACTTAAATTATTTATCGTAGAAGGGCGCCTGGCTGGCTCAGTGGTTAAGGCTCTGACTCTTTTTTTTTTTTTTTAATGTTTTTTTAACGTTTATTTATTGTTGAGAGACGGTGTGATCAGAGGAGATGGAGAGAGAGAGGGAGACCCAGAATCTGAAGCAGGCTCCATGCTCTGAGCTGTCAGCACAGAGCCTGATGCTTGGCCTTGAACCCATGAACTGCAATATAGTGACCTGAGCCGAAGTCAGATGCTTAACCAACTGAGCCACCCAGGCATCCCAAGCCTCTGGCTATTGATTTTGGCTCAGGTCATGATCTCACAGTTCCTGAGTTGGAGCCCCAGTCAGGCTTTGCGTGACAGCGTGGAGCCTGTCTGGGATTCTCTCTCTCTCACTCTTCCTCTGCCTCTCCCCGCACTTCAAAATAAATAAACTTAAAAAAAATTTTTTTTTAATACTTATCATAGAGCCTGTTACGGTACAGTTGTGAAATGTCAGGGATAGAGTCTAGAATTGTCTAGCGCAGTGCTTTGACCATTTAAAAGTCCATCACAGCTAAGAGCTACCAGACAGCCCTGTCAGTAACACTGACTCACCAGGTTGTAAGGGGAGACAAGACAATGTAAGCATTTGGAGATCGAGTGGTTTGAATCCCCTCTCCTATTCCTATTTGGAGAAGTACAGGTCTGGCCTAACCCTCACATTTTACAGATCATGAAACTGAGGCCCAGAGAAGTTAAATGACATGCAGTGGGCCTGTGGCAGTTCAAGTCTAAAGGCCAAATGTCTGAACTTAGATCTTGGTGTTGTTTGTTCACGGTCACAGTAAGTGATGATTTTATGGAGGTTTTTCCCCTCCATTTTAGAAAACTTTATCTTTTTTTAAAACTTTATTTTTTAAATATAACTTTATTGTAGAGAAAATACAAATGAGCAAAACCAAAAAAAAAAAAAATCCATAATACCACCACCCAGAAATACCAAAACATTTTTGTGTATATCTTTCTAGTACTTCTTCAGTGCCTACTATCTGCCTGCGTGTCTATCTGTACTTTTGCAAAATAAGAATACACAATGCACACTGCATTTTCTGGTTAAGGATGTGCTGTGTCCATTGTGTGTCAGTAAGGAACAGGAAGCGGTGTGTGAAGTTGATTACAGGTTGCTGGCCTCTGGGCTGATGAGTTGCCTTTGTCATTGGCAGGACAATGACTTCTTGCGGAACAGAGTGCACAGGCATGAGCCACCGGTCACAGCGGAACCTGTCCGCCTGCTGGCTGAGAATGAGGATGTGGTGGTTGTAGACAAGCCTTCTTCCATTCCTGTCCACCCTTGTGGCCGCTTCCGACACAACACTGTCATCTTCATCCTGGGCAAGGAGCACCAACTCAAGGAGCTACATCCACTGCATCGGCTGGACCGCCTTACCTCAGGTGTCCTCATGTTTGCCAAAACGGCTGCTGTCTCAGAGAGAATTCATGAGCAGGTTCGGGATCGGCAGGTGAGCTGGGCTTCTGTCTCCTGCATGCCACTTTCTGGGCTCATGAATGCTTTGTATCAGAATTGTGTCACTGAGTTCTGTTGAAGTGGCCCTTCATGTTATCTGGCCAATCTTCCTATCTTCAGGAAGGTCAACACTGAAAATGTCAAAGACAGGTTATTATCTCTTATGTTTCAAAAGATCTTTTGAGATGGCATATATACTGCCTTTCTTGGTAGCTTGCCATTTTGAAGTTTTAAAGTGCTGACAGGCTGACCAAGGTGTTTTCCGCTTTTGTTTGTTTTTTGATGATTAAGATTTTTAAGGTTGTGGGGAGAGTCTACTTGGTAGAAAAATTCTGGATGAAGTTGGAAGAAACTTAAGAAGAGTTCAATGGTAGTGACTATAGTCTTGAGGCTTGTACTTTTGATTCTGATTGCAATACATTTATTGAGTGTTTACTGTGTACCAGGCTCAGTACCAAGTACATTAGAGTCTAACTCACTGAATCCTTGTTAACAGTCCTGTGAGATAAATGCTTTTTTTTAAAATAACTTATTTTAAGTATATTTATTTATTTTGAGAGAGAGAAAGAGAGAGAAAGGAGGGGGAAGGGGCAGAGAGAGAGGGAGAGAGAGAGAGAGAGAGAGAGAGAGAGAGAGAGAGAGAATCCCAAGCGGGCCCCCTGTCATCATCACGGAGCCTGACACAGGGTTCAAACTCATACCTTGAAATCATGACCTGAGACAATACCAAGAGGCAGACACTTAATTGACTGAGCCACCTAGGCACCCCAATAATCATAGGTTTTCTAGATAAGTTAATTGGATTTAAAGAGGTTAAGTAATGTGCCTAGAATCCTGCAGCTGGCACATGGTGGAGCTGGGGTTTGAATCCTCTTCTGTCTGACACTGATGCATTTCTTGTCACTGTATTGGGTCTGAACTTCATGAATTTGGGCTTTGTGCTGACTTTCTTCTTCTTCCTTCCAATGTAGCTGGAGAAGGAGTACGTGTGCCGGGTGGAAGGGGAGTTCCCCACTGAGGAAGTGACCTGCAAGGAACCCATCTTGGTGGTATCTTACAAGGTAGGGGTGTGCCGTGTAGATACTCGGGGCAAGCCCTGTGAGACAGTATTCCAGAGACTGAGCTACAATGGTCACTCCAGTGTGGTGCGGTGCCGGCCACTCACAGGCCGCACTCACCAGATCCGAGTCCACCTCCAGTTCCTGGGACACCCCATTCTCAATGACCCCATCTACAACTCAGTTGCCTGGGGTCCATCCCGCGGCCGGGGCGGCCACATTCCCAAAACGGATGAGGAACTGCTTCGGGATCTTGTGGCAGAGCACCAGGCCAAACAGAGCCTGGATGTGCTAGATCTCTGTGAGGGCGACCTGTCCCCAGGACTAATAGACTCTACAGCTCCCTCCTCAGAGTTGGGTAAGGACCACCTAGAAGAGTTGGCTGCATCTGCCCAGAAGATGGATGGAGTGGTTGATGCAGCCCCTCAGGATCTGGACACCATGGCCTTGGCACCAGGGAAGGCAGCCGAAACTGATTTTGTGAATCAAGAGATAGACCCTCTGTGTGCAGAGTGCCGGCTGGTGCGACAGGACCCCTTGCCCCAGGACCTTGTGATGTTCCTGCATGCTCTCCGTTATAAAGGGCCTGGGTTTGAGTACTTTTCACCCATGCCTGCCTGGGCACAGGATGACTGGCAAGAAGACTGAAGGCTGTGGTTGAGGGACTGCTTCTTGAACTAGAAGACAAATGGGCCATGGAATAGGAGCTGATCTCATGGGCTGGTACTCAGGTTTTCTACACAAGTGAGGTTGGGTTCATAAAGGATCTGCTTATACTTGCTACCTCCTTTCCTCTCCCTCTAGCTGGAGTTTGGGAGCTTGTTGGTTTGTAAATATATCCCTTTTTCTAAAACCTTGTATGTCTTGGTTTTCCTTTTTTTTAATGTAAAAATAACATATTGTACAATTAACTATCTTAAGATAGGCAGTTCAGTGACATTTGGTACATTCACAAGGTTGTGCAACCATCACCTCTCACTTAGTTTCCAAACATTTCCCCTACCCAAAAGGAAACCCATGACTATTAAACAGTCACTCCCCATTTCCCATTCCTCCCACAGCTCTGGTAACCATTAATCTCCTTTCTGTCTGGATTCGCCAATTCTGGACTTTTCATAGAAATTGAATCATACAATATGTGACCTTTTAGGTCTGTGTTCTTTTACTTAGCATAGTGTTTTTAAGATTTGTCCAGGGGCGCCTGGGTGGCTCAGTCGGTTGAGCGTCTGACTTCAGCTCAGGTCACAATCTCACAGTCCGTGAGTTCGAGCCCCGTGTCCGGCTCTGGGCTGACGGCTCAGAGCCTGGAGCCTGCTTCCGATTCTGTGTCTCCCTCTCTCTCTCTCTGCCCCTCCCCCATTCATGCTCTGTCTCTCTCTGTCTCAAAAATAAACATTAAAAAAAAAAAAAAAAGATTTGTCCAATTTATAGCATGTATCAGTACATCATTCCTTTTTTATGGCCAAATAATATTTTTCTCTTATATGGTTATACCACATTTGTGTATCCATTCATCAGTTGATGGACATTTGGGTTGTGTCCACCTTTTGGCTATTGTGAATAGTGCTGTTATGAACGTTCATATTTATTTAAGTAATCACTACACCCAACGTGGGGCTTGAACTCAGAGCCCTGAGATCCAGCCAGGCGCCCTTATTTGTTTAACTTTTTGAGGAATCACCAACTTTTTACCCCAACAGCTGAGCCATCTTACATTCCCACTGGCAGTGCACAAGGGTTTCAGTTTCTCCCCATCTTCACCAATATTTGTTGCTTTCTCTTGTTTTGATTATGGTCTGTTAGTGGGAGTGAAGTGTTCATGCATTGTGGTTTTGATTTTCATTTCCCTATTGAGCATCTCCAAGCATCTTTCCATGTGTTTCCTGGCCATTTATGTATCTTTGGAGAAATGTCTATTCAAGTCTTCTGCCATTTTTGAATTGGGTTGTTTGTCTTTTGTTGTTGAGTTATAAGAGTTATTCATATATTCTGGATACAAGACCCTTATCAGATAAATGATTTGCAAATATTTTCTCCCATTCTGTAGGTTGTCTATACTTAGGCACAATTTATTAAGTCATTGGCCATTGGGTTTGATTTTTTTAAAGTTTATTTATTTAGAGAGGGAGTGCATGCACATGAACAAGGGAGGGGCAGAGAGAGGGGGAGAGACAATCCCAAGCAGGCTCTGTGTTGCCAGTGCAGAGCCCAACTCGGGGCTCAATCTCACGAACCGCGAGATCAGGACCTGAGTCGAAGTCAGCCTCTCAGATGATTGAGCCACCCAGATGCCCTTTGTAATAAGTTTTGAAATCAGGAACAGTGAGTCTTCCAACTTTTTCAAGACTGTTTTGGCTCTTCAAGTCTCTTGATTTCTTATGAATTTTAAGATAAACTTTTCCATTCCTGCAAAAAGGCTAGTGGGATTTTAAAAATCAAATTTTGGGGGCGCCTGGGTGGCTCAGTCTGTTAAGTGTCCAATTTTGGCTCAGGTCATGATCTCATGGTTCATGAGTTCGAGCCCCACATCCAGCTCTGTGCTGTCAGCATGGAGCCTGATTAGGATCCTCTGTCTTCCTTCACTCTCTGCCCCTCCCACACTGATGTCTCTGTCTTTCTCTCTCTCTCAAAAATAAATATTTGAAAAAATTAAATCTTTATTTTGGTAAAAATTACATGACATAAAATTTACCATCCTAGCTATTTTTTAAGTGTACATTTCAATAATGTTAATTATATTTACATTATTGTGAAACAGATCTCCAGGACTTTTTCATCTTGTATGACTGAAACTCTATACCCTTTAAACTACAACTCTCCTCTCTTCCCTTCCTTCCAGGCTCTGGCAACCACCATTCTACTTTCTGTTTCTATGAACTTGACCATTTTAGATACCTCATATAAATGGAATCATGCAGTATTTGTCTTTTTGTGATTGGCTCATTTCATTAGCTTAATGTCCTCAAGGTTCATCCATGTCGTAGCTTGTGACGGGATCTCTTCCTTTTTAAGACTGTACGTATGTACCACATTTTGTTTATCCATTCATCTGCTGATGGACGCTTGGGCTGCTTCCACCTGTTAGCCTTCATAAATAATGCTGCTGTGAACAAATATCTCTTTAAGACTCTGCTTCTCGGCGCCTGAGTGTCTCAGTTAAATGTCCGACATTTGATTTCAGCTCAGGTCATGATTTCATGGGTTTTGGGGATCAAGCCCTGCATCAGGTTCTGGGCTGATAGTACAGAGGCTTCTTGGGATTCTCTTTCTCCCTCTCTCTGCCCCTCTCCCCCAAAATAAATGAATAAACTTTTAAAAAAGAAGACCCTGCATTCAATTCTTTTGAGTATATATCAAGAAATAGGATTGTTAGATTGTATGGTATTTCTATTTTTAATTTCTTGAGGAGCCACTATACTGTTTTCCATACTAGTTTCATCTTTTTTACAATGCTGTTAACAATGTACAAGTGTTCTAATTTCTCCACATCCTTGTCAATACTTGTTATTTTTTGTTGTTTGGGTTTTCTTTATGTGGGTGTGAGGTATCATTTAATTGTAGTTTTGGTTTGCATTTCCCTGATGATTAGTGACATTGAACATCTTTTCATTTTCTTGTTGGCCTTTTGTACCTCATTTAGAAAAATGTCTATTCAAATCCTTTGTGCATTTTTCAATCAGGTTGTTTGATTTTTTGTTGTCCCTAAATTGTAGGAGTTTTACGTATTCTGGATATTAACCCCTTATCAGATACATGGCTTATGAATATTTTCTCCCATTCCATAGGCTGCCTTTTATTTTATTGATTATGTCCTTTGATCCACAAAAGTGTCTTAAGTTTGATGTAGTCCCTTTTGTCTGTTTTTTCTTTTGTTGACTGTGAGGCTGATAGGAATTTGATAGGGAATGAATTGAATCTACTAATTATTTTTAATATTTTTATTTGTTTTTGAGAGAGACAGAGCACGAGCAGGGGAGGGACAGATAGACACACAGAATCTGAAGCAGACTCCAGGCTCCAAGCTGTCAGCACGGTGCCTGACATGGGGCTTGAACTCCTGAACTGCGAGATCATGACCTGAGCCAAAGTCAGATGCTTAACTGACTGAGCCACCCAGGTAATATTTTAGGTAATATTACCATCTTAACATTATTAAGTCTTCCAATCCATGAAAATGGAATATCTTTCCAATTTTTTGATCTTTAATTTCTTCTGGCAATGTTTTGTCATTTCTAGTGTACAAGTCTTATACCTCCTTGGTTAAATTTACTCTCAAGCATCTTATTCTTTTTTTTTAAGTTTTATTTATTTAAGTAATCTCTACATTCCATGCGGGACTCGAACTCATGACCCCAAGGTCAAGAGTCACATGCTCCTCTGACTGAACCAGCCAGGCACCTGCACTCTTTTTGATACTATTTAAAATGAACTAAAAGGGCGCCTGGGTGGCGCAGTCGGTTAAGCGTCCGACTTCAGCCAGGTCACGATCTCGCGGTCCGTGAGTTCGAGCCCCGCGTCAGGCTCTGGGCTGATGGCTCAGAGCCTGGAGCCTGTTTCCCATTCTGTGTCTCCCTCTCTCTCTGCCCCTCCCCCGTTCATGCTCTGTCTCTCTCTGTCCCCAAAAAAATAAATAAACGTTGAAAAAAAAAATTAAAAAAATAAAAAATAAATAAATAAAATGAACTAAAAATAATAAAATGAATAATTTTCTTAATTTTGTATTTGGATAGTTCATTGCAAGAGTATAGAATTACAACTGACTTTTGTGTTGGTTTTTTATCCTGCAACTTTGCTGAATTTATTAGCTTAATAGTTTTGTGTGTGTGGATTCTTTTTTTTTTTTAATTTTTCATGTTTATTTATTTGACAGAGGGAGAGACAGAGACAGAGTGTGAGAGGGGGAGGGCATAGAGAGAGGGAGACACAGGATCTGAAACAGGCTCCAGGCTCTGACCTGTTAGCACAGAGCCCAACGCAGGGCTTGAACCCACGAACCGTGAGATCATGACCAGAGTCAAAGTCAGAGCTTAACTGACTGAGCCACCCAGGTGCCCAGCCCACCCCCCCGCTTTTTTTTAATGTTTATTTATTTTTGAGAAATAGAGTGTACGAGCAGGGGAGGGGCAGAGAGAGAAGGAGACGGAATCTGAAGCAGGCTCCAGGCTCTGAGCTGTCAGCACAGAGCCCAACACGGGGCTTGAATTTAGGGACCACGAGATCATGACCTGAGCCGAAGTCGGACATTTAACCAACAGAGCCACCCAGGTGCTCCTGTGTGTGGATTCTTAATGTGTGTGTGTGTGGGGGGGGGGGGGGTGTATTTTTTTCATGTCATCTGGGACTAGAGATAATTTTACTTCTTCCTTTTCCAATTGGATGCCTTTTATTTCTTTTTATGTCTAATTGCTCTGGATATCTCATTGTGATTCCAGTACAATGTTGAATACAAGTAGCAGAGCGAAAGTGGGCATTTTTGTCTTCTCCGTGGCTTAGGGGGAAAGTTTTCAGTCTTTCACCATTGTATGATGTTAGCTCTGGGCTTTTCTTAAAGTCCCTTTACCATATTCAGGATGTTCTTACTGCTTATTTCTTGCCCTGCATTTCTACCTGGTCAGCCTTTTGACTTGTCTTCTGTTCAGGTGCATGTTTTCTGCTTTCTGTTCCTTTTATTATTTCTCTGTCGTGTATTTCCTATTTCTTTGGAGTACCCCTGAATTTTTGTTTTCAGGCTTCTTCAGTGTGAATGAGACAGACTCATTAACTAATCTGTAGACTTTGATCAGCACACACTAAGCAGTCACGGCGTGATGGGGAAAAACAAATGAGTTTATATTCTTTTTGTGATCCATACTG